ACTTGGAGAAGAAATATTTACCATCTGTAATTAAAATGTTTTAACGAAACTCATAACATTTATTAAATTGACTAGTTATCTCTCTATACATTCAGATTCAACTTTTCTTATGGATGATAATTTCATTTGCACTAAATTTTATGAGGTTAAAGGTTTGGTAATTTAAGATGCAAAAGAAGCTGGAATACATGCACAAAATAAATTATGTTTAATTAGAATAAATTAAATTCTAATTAATGTCACGTAATTTAGGCAGAAGAGATATTTTAAAAAATTTCTTGAAATTCGTTTTAAGTCAACTTATCGGATAACTTATAAATATTCGGATAGATGAAAAAGTTATTTTTCTGCACTACTTCACATAAAAATAACTAAATTAATATTCTTTTGAAATTATTTCTAAGAAAATACAATGTTTTTGTTAAAACGAAGAATCCCTTTCTAGCAGAGCTTGAAATTTCATGAATAAAGCTATCTCTTTTTGACTTCATTCAAACTACTAAAGAAAAAGTGAAGAAACGTATCTGGATCGTAATGCGTGACGTCAGAAAACGAGTGCCGTGGCCCCCTAAACTATAACTCCTCCTCTTTCGAGGCGGCCCTGGATAGATTCCCTTTTATGCATGAATGGTACTTAATTTTTATTAAAACCATTCAAAATAAGAATCTAGGTAATATTGAAACTATACTTTTATTTAAAATGAATTCAAGATGTTTAATAATGTTTATTGATTTTCTCAGAAAAAAAAAAAGACTTAGATCGTTACACAGGAATGAACAGCTCAGTGTAATAATTGAAATGAACATTAAAATAACATCCCGAAAGAAGGGCCCGAAAAACCGCCCGTCCTCGGTGGCCAAAAATTCCCCACGGACAACTAATTTCTCGAATCCGACGTCCGCTGGACGGCCATTTTCCTGTTAATGTTTGTGATAAATTTTCAATTTCTGTTATCTTAGAAGAGTCTAGCGCCTCACTTCTAAAATGACCCTCTAATCTAGAAATCCCGTTAATTCCTTCGTCATATCAAATGCCCATGCTCACATAATCGGTAAACAAAGGAAAAGTTGCTCTGTGCATGTGCATTTGGATTCCTAACGAAGGAATTAACAATTCCTTTGATCTTTTCAATTCCTCTGGCTTTTCAGCTATGAACTTACAAAAAAACACAGTACGTACTGGTCTTAAACAAGAAGTGTTAAACGCAATTATGAACCTCTTCCTAAATGGAAAACCCCTTTCAGATTTCTGAGCAAAAACCTCTGTAAATCATTAGCTCGACTGTGGAACTGGCAAACGCCATATTTGATTCATTTAAAAAATGCAGTACCCTCGGATAAATTCACATTCCAGATAATTTGACCTTTGTCATTTAAATTATTTCATAAAAGAAATACTAGGTAACCTAGTATTTTTTTATTACTATATAATGCAATCCTAGTAACTACTAATTCATTATGCAATTTATAAAATGCTTGTAATAAATAAGAGAAAATTTTATTTTTATTTATTTAGAAGCTTTGGGTTAGTTTCAAAGGAGAGAACGGGTACACTGTTGGACAAGTCGTCCTCGGGGACGGGTAAAATTTCTGAGTTTTTTCGAGCACTGGGTTAAGGAAAGGAATACAAGCTCTTCAATTGCATTTTGAATTTAGCTAAATTGCACACACAGAAATTGAATCATCATTTAAGTCGAGATATATTTCAATCGATTACATTTAATTAATTTTAAACAAAATTTCTGTTGTGTATTATGAAGCAAAGCAAGCAGAGCATTACCCTGATAAGTGAAAAAAAAAAGTATTTTCAATAAACAGAAACTAATGTTTTGGCAAATGATCCCATACAGTAAAAACTGTAGGAATTTTTTCTTTCTACTTTTCATTTGTAAATTTTTTTATTTAATAACATGACTCACATCAGGATCTTTTTGTTGTAATAAATTGCTACTAGTTAAAAAATTTGAGATCTATTAGTATTTATAAAGAAAATGTGAATGTAAAGTTCTTTTCAACTTTAGCGCTTGGTTGGGATAGAGCACAGTTGAAAGAAAGTTTAAAAAAAAAAAAAGAAAGAAAGAAAGAAAGAAACTGGACAGAATGTAGGGAACTAAAAAATGATAAAAAAAAAATTTTTTAACTATAATAATTATTACATGAATTGTTCGAATTTAAAAAAATATTTTTTCACAAATATATATATATATATCTTTTATTTTTATTTACAAAAATGAGTTATTAAATAGCTTCTATATTATTATTTAATATTTCTTTTTCGAAAAGGGTTTCTTTTTTTCCTTTCTTTTTGCAGTTTTTTCCATTGTGGAAGAAAATTGCCATCCCTGCTTTAGCATTAGGATAATAGTTTGTCTCTTCCCATATTTTGACTCAAATTTTTTTTATCACTCAACTGCAATGCTTAATACATAGGTTCTTTTGCTCTCAATAGAGAAGTTGTGGACAGATACAAACGAGCACAGAAGCTTAAGACTTGATGAAAGATTAAAAATTTATATTGAAAAAAATACATACCTTCTGTTGAAATAATATTGCTTGAGGCCACTCTAGATGGTTGAGCAACGTCGGTTTTAGAAGTTACATTTTCTGCAACAGATGTAGAACAATTATTGTTCTGTATGTTATCTGTTTTTGAAAGTGAGGTATCCAGCTTTAAACTAGGTGAGCTAGTGGGTAATTGTAAATTCTTTTTCCTTTCTTCATCAATGGAATCCATACTAGATTCCTCACTGGCAGCAGTGGATGAGTTTTGGGGTGGACTTTCTTTCACAGATTCCGATGCAGCACTTAAATGATTCACTAATTTGATTCTCTCATTAGGAATGCAAGGTAAACTCGGTGCAGTTTTTTCCGATGCAATTGCATTTACGACGTTAGTTTCTGGGGTTGTTCGGCCTTCACTAACTGTATTGTTCGTCTCCTGCATCACCAACATATTTCGTGTTTGAAGAAAAGCACTGCCACCAGTCGATATAATTGAAGTAACAGATTTCATTTCAGATGCAAGTGCTGTTTTGGCCAACATGTTTGGCACAGCTGGTGCGATTTGCAAAGGCACTTCAATCACATGAGGTTGGATTGATAAGTTATCGACATTGATTATCTGCGCAATCGGAGATTTTTTAATACCAACTAAACAAATACTCTTATCCGAGGATTCTAAGGTATCGTTCATCTCCGTTTTAGGTACTGATGTTAAACACGCAACTAATGAATTACAGGAGTCAGAATGATTAGAAAACAACAACTTTTTGCACTTATCTGAGCTGTTGCAAGATGAAATTTGTGAACTAATTAATGACTGAATTTTTACAGTTTCACTGCAATCAACATCAGGATTTTCTTTACTGACAGCAGTAGTGTTCTTATTTACATCAACAATATTTTGTACTTCACAGATTGCAGGGTTTTCTATATTTTGCATAGATTTTGTGTGAGAAACAAATTGTTCACTTTGTACATTATCTACATTTAAAACACCATCTATATTTTCTTTTACATTATTTATAGGATTAATATTGCACTGGTGATTAGTTTGAAGTGTTTGGCCATCCACCGAACTAGTTACATTAGCTACAGGATTAGCCTCAACTCTATCAAGTTTAGAGAGTCCATCTTCTTGTAGTGGAACAGTTTTATCTAAAGTTTCTTCCTTAGTAATACAAGAAGTTGAGTTAGTACTCAGAGGCACAGTGGATACTACATTTATACTACTGGCAGATAGTGATTGAGTCTGGTCACTAGAGCAATTTGTTTGTAAACTAGTTTTATTATCGACAAGTGCAGTAGGTGAATGAGGTAGATGTTGCATAATAGGTGATTTCCTTGAATCTGTAAGAAATACATAACACGTTTAGAAGAAATCATTTACTTAGGAGGGTTCGTGATTTTTTAGATTTTTTTTTTAAAAAAACTCAAAAAAGTCAGATTTTTTAAATTTTAAATCGGATTTTTTTGATTTAAATCAGATTTTTTCTTATTTAAATCAGATTTTTTTTATTTAAATCAGATTTTTCTGATTTAAATCAGATTTCTTTGATTTTTATTCAAATACACTGTAAGAACTAAAATTTGTGATTATAAAAACTTTGTAAATGCTTAATCAAAATTAAATTAATATTAAAACTATATTATAACAATATTTCAGAAGCTCTAACTTACTAAAATAGTTTTTCATTATAATACATAGCAACCATTCTGAAATAAATGCAGAGTTGAAATTTAAAGACTAGATGAAATAGAAAATTTTAAGAATACTTCAGGGGTCTGTCTAGGTTTTTCTGAGAAGTACCTATTTTGTGAAAATTTAGACATAATTTGTGAAAATTAAAAATCAACACAAATATGGTAAAAATATGGATTGGTTGATGGATATGGAAAAATATGGTTTCTTACGACAAAAATAAAATTTTAAGAAAAAAGTATTTTGTCAAATTATTCTACAGTACGGGACCGATTATCTGGAACGATCGGGACCATCGCTATTCCGGATAACTGATTTTTCCGGTTTTCTGAATAGCTACAAAAAGCCGTTTTTTTATTGTTAAACCCAACTAAAAAAAATATTTGGTAATAATCTTAAAAAGAAGAAAAAACGATCATGCAATACACTAATGATTATTTCCAAAATGACTGTAAGGTAAACATCTTTCAAAAAAGAAAGAAAAATCCTAAAATTTTATGAGGAAAAAAAAAAAAATTTTTTTGTAAAATGGAGGGAAAATTTATCGAATTTTATTCCGGTTTTCTGAATTCCGGATAACGGGTTCTGTACTGTACCATTTTTTCTAAAGTTGAATTTGTGAAGATACCGCTAAACAGTAGGAAATTTGGCTTGGATAGACCCCTGTACTATAACTATTAAAACAAAATTTCAATTAGTAAACCATAATTTAAATTTAAAATTGTGATTTCTTTTCTTTTTTTCTGGATTTTTAAAATGACAAAATAAATGCAACAGATTGTGTTTATAAATGTAGTCATTCATCAAAAAATAAAAATATATTTTATCTATACATTTTTATACTCAAATATTCATTTTTAATTCTATATCAAAATAGATAAGTCAAGTTAAACAAAATTTTTCTTAAATTCTATGTACTCATTGGAATTTTTTTTTCACCAAATTTCTTTATAGAAAATCAGATAATGTCAAAGATACTGTAAACATATTATGTGAGAAAAAATACCAGTTAATAACCCTACTGCTTCAAATAGACTTTGAAGAGAAGAATGACACTATATCAGGAGAAAAATATCTGAATTCAGCCTTTTTTTTTTTTTCTTTCTATTTTTGGCATATTAGGGTAATTTCTTTTTAGTATAACCTCAAGCTTAAGAAATATACATTTTTCACCAATAAAATAAAATGTAGATTTTAATTCCATGCTTTTTCATTCAAAAGGTGGAATTTTAATTAACATTATTGCATTATTTTTTGAAAAAAAAATCATGTTAATTAATTATTTTCTACAGCTATGCAAGTCTATATTAAGACAGCATTAAATGTTTACTTTAATCTGTACTTTCAATCTCTAGAAGCAAAACATTTTTAAAAATGTAATTTCAAATGTGTTGGAATTTAACAAACACCAAGAAAGAATGTAATTTCGTTAACTAAAATTAATTAAGGCAGCAATTTATTTGAAATAAATTTTAAAACTAAGAAAACAAAATAATAGAAGTATCAAAAATTTAAAACACTGTTTTTTAAAATTTTTTCTTTATCTAACAAAAATTATCCAATCTATATAATCATGCAATACAGAGTGTTTCTTTCTTATTTTTCTTTTTTGGCCTCATGTATAACTGAATTATTATAGCATATTTTTTAAATTCAGGAAAAAAGAAATGTGAGGGAAAAAAAAAACTCATCGGAATATACTTCGGAAAGTCCTAACGAATAATTCAGATTCTACCATATGTTCAGAAAACCATTAAATTGCAGAGAATCAGGACTTAAAATACCATGTGTATATTATATTAGTAGCAATAACTGTGAAAAAGTCGAACAGAAAAACAGTGGTATCATCATGTCAAAAACAGATTAGTGAACACACAAATTGAATTTCATATGTCATAATAATAATGTACAAACAATACAGGAATTTAAAGAAACATTGAAAAATTAATAGTATTAATAGACTATAAAACAATTGAAACAACGCATGAATTTACGATGGTATCAATGTAAATTTAGCACATCAAAAACTTTAATCAAAACATTTCGCATAGCGTAATAATATTGGAATTTTAAAAACCATGTGAAAATCAATTGAATTAACTGTAAATGAAAAAAAGATCAAACCCTGATTGACGATGGTATAGGGCGCATTAGAAAGTGGTTCGAAATTTGCACATCGTAATATCACATTAAAAATTAATTCGATCTAGTTGCAACCAAATAAAAAACAGGGCAAATATATCACATTGATTAAAGAATTCTTTCGTTACAAATCAGAACTTGTAACAAAATTTCCACTCATTAAAGCATAAGTTTTAAAATATGTGAGAAAACACTCTTTTTTCTAGCGAACGATCATTTAAATTTTCAGAAAAACTTAATTTTTAGATTATAAATTTTATTATTTTGTGTTTGCCTCAGTAGTTCATTAATTCTAGTCGAAAAAAAAATTTCCATTCTGTCTTGTGTTATCGAAGCTCATCCGAAGTTGCGTTCTTCTCAAACAATCTGTGCAAAGAAAGTCGTTACCGCATGTAGACAAGAAATAAGGAAGGGTGCAGGTAAGAGCGAAATAAATCTCGCATTAACGAGATTTTGATTAGTTAACGAAATTTAAATTTCAGACTGTCGGAATATAAATTATTGATTCCCAAAAATCAGTGGAGTTCCGCAAATTAGCAGAGGAATCACATGCCTGTTAAAACAGAAACGAACAGTTAATATGCCACAATTCAAATCGGATAGGATAAGGCTAAAGAATACTACAGACATATTGAAAATTTACCACACCACTAGTTTCATTTCTTAACTTTCAAGAAGTAAAGTTTTTATTACATTTTAAATAATAGATAATAAATTATCTGACAATGCTGGATATGATCTATTTTTATTAAATAGTGCTCACATTCATATGGTTTACACATCATGATGTATCAGAAATGAATTAGATCACAAAATAAAATACCTCAAAATTTTGAACTTTCTTTTTGTGATATAAAACAGCAATGTTCTTTTATTGCTAATACAAGACGTGAAGGGCATCTAAATTATGTATATTTCAGCCTCCTATACCAACTTACAGTTTAAGTTCATTCAATTTAAAAGACTCATTAGGTAAGCTTTAATAGTTGTGGTCTTTTATGCACTCAAAACCTGTCTATCTATTCAGAATGACTAGGAAATTCACTCTGAGTAGATTGCACCTCATAATAAGTACATACAATTAATGCAACCAAAATTTCATTAAAAAGAAAAACTGTATATATCAGATAATTAAAAAAAAAAAACGTTTTTAATTACATACTTTTTACACAGATCTTAAGTTAAGATCTTAAGATTGTTAGTTTATGGAAGAGTAGTTGTAATTTTGTCAAATAATATTTGTTGAATATAAGGAATGTTATTTTTTAAAAAAAATGCAGGAGAAATTGAAAGAAAAAAATGCTATCAGGAACTTTGTTAAGGATGCTTGGCATCTGATGAGCATTTTTTTACAAGATGTTATTGTTTAGTGATAGAGAAATTTCAGATTTTTTGATAAAATTTGATAAAAAGTGAGATCAATTGTGAGAAGTGTGGATACAAAATGTTCTTAATTAAAAAAATGATTAAATAAGTTTATATTGTAATTTTGCGTACATTACAAGAAATAGAAACCTGGTTAAAAGAATATTATGGAAGTATATTTATCTTGTCTGGATAATATGCTTTTAGATGAGTTATTTTAATATATTTAGATTTTGGAGAAATTCTTATTTCTTGATGTTTAAGAAATTTGGGGCAGAGTGGTATCAAGACTGTTGCTGTTGGTTTTTCAAATGTTAAGAGCCATTCATTGCAGGCATATAGTTGAGCCAGAATTTCCTGCACAGATTGTTTTTAAATGTAAAGGGCCATTTCTCAATATTCCTTACCACATTGATTGCAGCGTCACCCATATTCAGTTGACAGCAAAATTTTAAATTGGGCTGTGTCAATCACATTGGGGTGACGCTTATTTGACTATTTGCAAAGGAAGAAATAACTTATCTATTTTAATTTTTGAAATTTCAATAAATTTGGGTAAAGATTTTAAGTCATACTCTTCTTTACTTGGCAAAGATTCAAACTGATTGTGTAAAGTGGCGAAATGAGAAGCAATGGACACAAATAAACAAATATGATACCATGGAAACAAAGGGAGTGAGATATTATTCTTATGACCACCAGACTCGCATTATTAAAATATCGGTGGGAGCACTCAGCAGAATACGCTTCGGACAGCGGTACTCGTGGCCTGAAGGAGATTTCACTGTGAACATGTGTGGCAGTCAACGTGTTAAATGGAAAAATTATTGTGGCAAACAGTTGATGTAAATCTGACTTTAAAATTAATTATGAAATGTATGATTAGCATTATTCAATAGTATTGTGTGTTTGTATAACTCTATTTTAATTAAATTTTGGGTAGAACGGAAATAAAATTGTTTCTGGGGAGTAAACTTTGAATATAGTTCTGCAGTATTTTTTATTTCTGAAATGTATATTTGAATTAAATTCTTAAAAAAAGGCAATTGTTGTAATAAAAGCGAATTTTGAATTCAGTAAGGTTGCAATATTTGTTTATGTTTTTGGAATGGCAGTAGTTAAAATTTAACAAAAACTGTTGCCAATGAAAAAACATAGTCAAGAAATGCTTCTGAGAAAAAGCAAATCAATTTCAAATTTATTTATCTTTTCAATTGCTGTTCTTTTGTTTTCACTTTTTTAAAATATATATTTTATATATTAAGTCTTCGAGTCTTAGACAGATATCAATGTTTCTCTGCTTTTTAACTCTTTTATTGTTTTGAGAAAAAACTTTTATAAACCTAAAATTTAACTAAAAGAATCCAATATTAAATAACAATTCAACAAAAATGATTATCAAATTTTTCTATTATTTCAGTTAAATACGGCAAGTTAATATATGACTTTGCTGAATCAAAAATTTGAAAAGAGCAATTATTAGAAATTTTATGGTTTCTCTGATTATGCTTTTAAATATAATAGAAGGGCTCCAAAGAAAAGAAAAGATTTTTGCACAGAGTACAAGAATTCCATAAAGATTCTGTACAAATATTATTGTGAAATAATATTTGTACAGAACCTTTATTTTGAATCTTTATTGTATCTTACTTGTACAGAATTTTATTATAAATGGAACCATTTGAAAAATTCTGATGAAGCACACAATAATTTTTAAAAGGACTACATTATTCCAATTAATATTTAGCATAAAATTTGCAGTCTCAAACNAAAAAACAAAAAAAAAAAAAAAAAAAAATGAAAACCTTTGAATTAAAATGGAAAGTAAGTGTTGGGAATCAGTATTACTAAGTATGTATCAGCAACAGAAGAAATAAATAGCAGAGAAATGGTCCATTATACTGGAAATCAAGGTACAAAAATTTTCTAAAATGATTCATTCATCTAAAATATTTAATTTTAGATTACATTTTCTAAAATTAAAAGAATGACTCATTGTTTGGCTGCAAAGGTGTTTTTCAGTATTTCATAAATTTCCATGCTAAATATTTTTAAGAAACAGCATTTTACTTAGCTCAGGTAAAAGTAGCAAATCATCAAAAAACATACAATATTTCAGGCTGAAAATATCTATTACTATCTATGCTACTATTTGGAAAAAATTATAAAGCTTAAAAATAATAATTAAAAAACACATTAAAATGAAGTTTACTGTGGCACTTATTTCCACTATGACTCACTTTTTCTTGATCAACCCAATTAAGAATAAAAAGTTACGATGATTTAAAATGCACAATTTTATATACAGCTGACAATAAATCAAATAAAAAAATATATATATAAAAAAAAGAAATTAATAACACCTACTTGAAAATAAATCTTCTTTTATACATCCTACATTTGATGTTACCCCACTTGACTTAGTGCCAAGCGAATTAGTCAGTTTATCAACAACCATTGATTTAACCCTTTCAACTGCTGTTGATGAAGTGCTTTCAACTGCTAATGTAGTCCTTTCACTGGTTGATGTAGTCATTTCAACTGTCGGTTTAGTGTTTTCAATTGTTGGTGTAGTGCTTTCAACTGTTGGTGTAGTGTTTTCAACAGTTGAACTAGTACTTTCAACTGTTGGTGTGGCCTTTTCAATTGTTGGTGAATTCTTTTCAACAGTTGATACAGTCCTCTCAACAGTTGAAGCAGTTCTCTCAACAGTTGAAGCAGTTCTCTCAACTGCTGATGCAGTTCTCTCAACGGCTGATGCAGTTCTTTGAACAGTCGATGCAGTACTTTCGACAGTCGAAGTACCACACACCACAGATGATGCTACGTCTGATACCATTGAGCTAGCATTTGTCTGTATTACTTGTGAAGCATCAACAGAAGCAACTTCAGTTTCAGAGACTGCCGGTACCTGCACTGGCAGAGGAGATTTGGAACCAGAAAAAGAGTGTATTGTAACACTTTCTCCAGTTGAACACGAAGTTAGTGTCATGACTTCCGACTTGCAGGAGTCTCTCGATGCAAGGCTAAAAATATTGGAAGTTTTATTCTGCGCTGCAGACTTATTAACTGCCGTACTAGAAAGATAAGTCTCGTACGAGGAAATACGACTTGAAGAAACTTTTTCACTCATTTCAACAATTCCTCCGCCAGACATGGACATATTTTTAACATTTTGATTCCAAACCTCCTCTTTCACTTTTTTAACATCTTTATTGGAACTTCGAATTCTTTTATCCAATAACTCAGAGGTGCGACCAGTGGCAGAGGGAGGACCAGCAGAAACATCCCCAGTTCTGGCAGTTCTCGGTGATCGAATTTTCTTCTGGCTCACTTTAGAAGGCATATCACCAGATGATTGATCCTCTTTGCTCAACGAATACCTGGACTTAGAATCGTCTTTCCTAGGACTTACAACAACCGCAGCATTAGGACCACGTAGTGAGATATGTAGAGGAGGCACACGAGGTTCGGTAACGGCAGAAGGTGAATTCTTTTTAAAACCAGGAATACTTACAACAGCAACATCAATTTTGGGATTATATTGTGGATTCGATTCTTTACGTTTTTCTTTCACTTCACTTTCTTTTGATTCCCTCAAAGTTTTGGGATCTAATTTTAGTCTTAATTTAATTTTTTCACCAGATATAGATGATGCAACACTTGCAGTAGAAATATCTATTTTAGAAGTTTCGCTTTTCCTTGAATCTTTACCAGAATCAGTAGCTAAACCTTCAGATGAAGATTGAGATACATCAGTTATAGATTTGCTAATACCAGAATCAGTATCAGATGAGAGGTTAGTGTCTTTACCACCATCAGAGAGACTCCTTTCAGAATGACTCTTCTCAGAAACATCATTTTCAAAATCTGGAAAAGGAGGAAGAGATTCTATTGATTCTTCCTCCTCCTCTTCATCACTTGGCATTGGTTCAAGTTGTCCAGTAAATGGATTGATCAAATGTTTTGTTTTTCCATCAGATGAAGATGGAGGTGAAGGGAAAGGATTTGAATCTGGAGTTGAAGTACTCGGAGTAGAAGGGGCACTAGTTCGATCAGTTTTCATAAACGTAACATCTTTATTTGGTTTCTCGAGGGCTTTACTTAAAGATGTTTCCCTCGATTGAAACAGAGGTCGCATCTGACTTAAGGGCATGGAACGTGGAGCAGACATTGCATACGATTGTAAACTTCCTGATGCAGGTCTTGCTATTTGAGGAGCTCCAACTGGAATATGTGTATGGAGAGGAAGATTACCCGTGTGCACTTGAGGCTGACCTTGTGCCTGAGGATGAATGTTTGGCACTGTCCGTGGTCCTTGAGTTTGCCGAAAGGCAGATATATTTTGGGGTCCGAGTGATCTAGTTGTCGACACCATAGGTTGCCCTTGAACTTGAGGCTGTAAAGATATTCCCTGTTGATGAGTTTGTGGTTTAATGTTCGAGACAGGTGGTTGACCTTGGGCCAAAGGATGAATATTTGCTACTTGAGAACTTGAAATGCTTAAATTATTATTTATAGGCACATTAAGGGATTGATTAAGAACACTTAAAGGATCAAATCCTCCAGGTGATCTAGACCCTATGTGAGATTGATAAGAAGGTGGTGAAGGAGAAGCAGAATAACCAGTGTTTCCATCTTCTAAAATCTTTTCTTTAGACTTGCGAGGTTTTCTTTTTCGTTTTGGTTGTTGATTAGCAGCATCTGCAGGAGGCGGCATTAATTTATTGTTTTGTGGCAAATTTGATGTTTCACTTTGAAGTAAATTAACAAGAAGAGGACTTGATAGAGCCACATTTGCTCTCGAAGTGGATGCTATAGCGTTAGGTGGAGGCGCTCTAGTAACTACATTATTAAAAGCTGAATTTGTTATAGTTCTGGGCACTTTCTGTAAATTTGAGTTAGAAACTTTAGAAGACACTGAAGAAGTTGCAGTTATAGCACTACAAGTAGAATTTAAGATAGAATTTGATATTTGTACAGCTGTAGAGGAAAATGAAAGTCGAGGATTGCCTGCTTGAACATGAAGAACGGGTTGATACTGTGGGCTTGCAGAATTATTTTTGGTATTCATAGCATGAGTCATACTAGCAAAAGGGAATGGGCCAAAACTAGTGGGAGGCTTAACAGAAACATTTGGAGATATACGTGATGAACTGGGCATAGTAGCACTTGTTGTGGTGACAAGTGCAGAAGGAGGAAAAGGAATAGGTTCAGTACTTGATGGGGCTATGACATTAGGTGAACGGAAACTTATAGATGATTCTGGTTTAGGTGATGTTTTCTCAAGTCTAGTTAACGAGCTCACAGCAGAAGAAGTAGACGCGGTTCCTCCAACAATATGTCCAAGGAACTGACTAATATTCTTATGAGCTGGTTCAGCCATACTTGGACCAGGCACAGCCTCAGCATTAGGTATATTAAATGAAACACTTGCAACATCTCCCTGCTCATCAGAAGTTTTTCTAAGTACAATTTCTTGCGGTTCACTATATTGGCTAGATAGAGTTAATGTAATAACCTGAAACAAAAATACACATTTATAAGAATACAATACGTCTAGTTAAAGTAATTACAAAATTTAAAAATCAATAAACATAGTATTTTAACTAGTACTAAATTGGAAGAAGCTAGGTGTAGAAAGGAATCAAGGTCATTTCAAATGCTTTTAAATCTTAATTATAATGCTGAGGAAATATCACTGGATAACAATCAAGCAAAGTTTTCAAATGTTGTGTAATTTTTTGTATTTTTTATTTTTTGCATTAACACATTTAAAATTATTCTTAAAAAAAAAACAATACTAAGTTATTCTTTAGCTTTTTTAATTGTAAGTAACTAAATAATTTTTAAGCAACAAATTTACTTACAATTTATTAAAATTACAGGATGTTCAAAAAAGAACTATTTAACGAGAATTATTTTATTGTTGTTTAATTTAAAAAAAGAACTAAGTCACTGAATATTCATTATTCTAAATCCTAATTTGGCAGAGGGTCAAGGGTTTCAATCACATTTTAAAAAAAACTCATTTAAATTTTATCAGCATTACTTAAATCTAAAATGGGCAACCAACCTGCGACGTAACCCATTTTCTTCCCAGCCCAAAATGACTTCTGGCAGGAGAGAAAAACAGTTTTTATATTCTTTTGATCATGAAATGATATCCTTTACCGAATGCTTATGAGGGTCACTTAGAGAGAAATTTCAAAATATTTAGGAGATAATCTGTTGTTTTTTTTTCAATAGAAAGTTATACCTATTACTCATATTTTAAAGCTAGATGAAAAAATTTAAATAAGGCCAGGGCAGAGTGGATAAGACTATTTGACATATTTTTAAAGAGATTCTGAGAACTGTGTACAAAAAATCTGTGCATGAATCTTTCAAGAGTAAAATTATTTAAAAAAATTTAAAATAAGCTTAGATAATATCCCTATATATTGACCACAAAATAATAAGATGCAAATATTTTTTAAAGCAACAAAAGGATTAAGTGATTAAAATATACATCTGAAATGCATTAGGTGACTTTTCTATATCTTGTATTTACTTTATCATTTGTATATAAGGGATTTTTCTTTTCTTGTCAGTACCAAAAAATATGCAAGATTTTAAAGCTTAAAAGCTACCTTTGCTGTGAATTTTATAAAATATTTCTGCTATTATTTTTCTAATTATTATCTTTTATTTTTTTAAGTGCAATTTATTTAACATGATGCTGAAAATTCATCAAATCACTTAACATTCATTCCCTATAAATCAATTATAACACAAATTATAAAAATTTACATTCAAATATGTATACATTAAGCTTCTTAGAATAACTAGTAAAAGATTCAATAACTTAAAAAATTTAGAAAGACAATGCTTGATAGTAAACATAACAGTATTACATAAAAGCTGAATTTTGCATTAAAAAAATATATATATCACTTAAATCAAGGATTCTATTTTTATAAAAAATTATGATTTTTTTTCCACATCCTATTATTTTGTGAATTTCAAAGTTAACATTTAATACTCCTATTACAAAAATTATTTTCAGTTTAACAATCAAATAAATTTAAACCAGTAATAAAATACAGTCAAACTTCTAAATACGGAACACATTTAAAACTCTAACAAAAGAGATATTTAAAATATCAGACATATGTATAAGTTTAAACATCAAATATTTTATTGTTACTTGAAATTTAAAGCGCTGCTTTTTTTACAATTTGCAGAAATTTTTGTCTCATCCACATTAAATCAAACCTCATTCATATTCAAATTTTTAAAAATTTAAACATGAATAATTTGGTATTAATTAATCTTTAGTTATCATTTGCAGAAAGTTAAGTGTTCAATGTTCGAAACATTTTAGAGAATTTTACCAAAATATGAAAAAATAAATAAATAAAGATAATTTTTTAATTAAAATTTCAACAAAAAAAATTACAGCTCTTTTTTTAAAACAATTTTTAGGAATTCCACAATACATTTTGAAAATTTTACTTCTCATAGCAAAAATGAACAATTTTCATTTGCTTTTAATACTTTGGCCAAGGGATGGCAGAGGTATCCAGGGAGCTGAATGTACCTAGCCGATCTGGCCAGTTGGCTAGATATTGGACAGTGGCTCATTATGACTATCTGACAGTAACATCTAGCCCAAAATTCAATATTGAAGAAAAATGTGTAAATAACATTATAAATGGAATTATTTTTAATAAATAACTTAAAGTTATACTAAAATTTGTTTTTCTTAAACCTACTGGTGGTTTAACAAATGAAAAAAATTGGAAGAATGTATCTCTCCAATACACTATTTCCCTTTCTAATACAGTGAAACCTCCAGAAAAGACCAACTCTATTTACAACCACTTTTAGGAAGCACAAAATTTTTTCCATAGACTTTGTGTTGAAGAAAACCTTTAGGAGAGACCATTAACCATTCTCCCAAGGACCGGGAAAACATCTGCACCAAATAAGGAAACATGAACAAATATGAAAAGAGAAAATTTAATAAAAGAAATAAGCAAATTAAAATATTTGTGTGTGACTCTCACTTAGAAAGATTTTTTTGACAATACAACTTCATGTTGCAGTCAGAGTGGACAAAAAACAATGATTTACTTTTAGAGTTGAAAGTTAAATTTGAAAAAACAAACACCTCAAACAAAGAAACCTTTTCTCACCTTTTAAAACTAACTATTTTTTAGAATATAAAATTAAATGCAAACTTAAACAAAAAACATAGTTGTTTATTTACTTAAAATAACTTTATCATTCATGATAGGTAAACTTCTTTTTACACATAATTATATCAATTGAGATCATTTTCATAGACGCTTAATTTTATTCATCGATCCGTCTTTTCGTTTCAATAGTGAACTTGTCAATAACTTTTTTTTAATTATTTGATTCTAAATACTGCTTCAAGTGAATGAAATGACAGTTATTTTTCTCTTTTACTTACTTGGTCTCCTTCAATTTGAACTGAAAGAATGCCAAGTTCCCTCAATACTCTATCACCTCTTTCAGCAAGTTGTCTCAGTCGCTGAGCAGCTTCTAAGGGGATGTTGAATGTTACTCGCACACTATTCCACGGCTCAACTTTAGTTACTTTGATGGGGTTTTCCTCTGGAAAGGGTTTAAAAAATAAGAAAAATTAGAAAATAAAATCTGTACAGTGATAAAGAAAAACTGTACTATACTTTCAGATACAGTGATAAAGAAAAACTACTGTATTTCCAGGCACAGTGATAAGAAAGAAAAAAAAAACATTTTTAATAAAAAATTACTAATAAGTGCATAAGTAGTTGCTGCAATATAAAAAAGATTTCATTAATTCATTTCAGATTGCGTTGTTAATAAAATAGTGAGATCCGTAGAAACGGAGCTCACTATTTTATTTTTTAACAAAACAATCAATGTCTTGTTAAAACTGTAACAACTGTCAACTAATAAATATTTCAGGGAATCAATGGCTTGATTTTTGAAGTCAATATGAAATAGCTATATTTTTTATGTTTTTCTTTATTTGTTGTTAAATGTTTCTTAAGTTTGCAAAAAGAAGATTGAAGGTGCAAATTAATTTGATGCAGAAAAAAAAACAAATCTGAAATTTTGCTGCGTATATTACTCTTTATAATGAATACCCTTTATATTTTGATTGACAAAAGATGAAATAATTTAACCATATACTTATTTTTAAATTCTGTACTTGGCTATAAAGGATTTCTGTAAGTTCATCTTCTGAAGTAGAATAATTTTGAAACAGCTTTTCAATAAGTCTTAAAATAAAAGTGCAGACATTATTTTTACCTTAGTCTTTATCAGAGAATATTGCAAATGAAGAGCAAATACCGTCTAAGGAAACAGCTGCAGGGAATAATTGAACAGAAACTCGATAGCATAATGCTGATTGAACTTCATTTTGATATTCACAAGAATATGCCATTGCAAAGTCAACTTGAACTACCTGGATTTTACTACTAAATATGTTCTTTTGGAAAGCATCAGCTTGGATTCTTGTAACCCTTATGTATTATTCAAAGTTAGCCCAATTTTTAAGAGTACATTTGCTATCTTATTTTTTTATTACGTGACAATTGGCATCTTTTTTCCCTCGTTACAAAACTACAATAGAAGATGGCTAGAAAACTAGAACAAACAATGAGCCATTTTTACAAATATTACATGCACCCTTCCAACAATTAGAAACAAGATTTTTTTACATGATTTACGTAAATACTTTTACCATCACCATGTATTGTCATAAACCTTATTTTAGCCTTTCAATAAAAGAATATAATTTTCATGATATTTGCATTTGCATTGATTCTAAGTGGTATCTTACAATAGCAATAAATTTTTTGGTCGCAAAGCACAAAATCTTGAAAACGAAACTGAAAGTTCAGGATGTAACTGACAAAAAGCAGCATACACTTCTCTTTGAAACATGGTTAGATAGTTCCTACGTTTTATTATCAGTTTTTTCTCTTGTTAATCCAGACAATCAAGCCTTTCAATCCAAGCATAGTATAAACAATGTCACTTATGTAGAAAAATTCATTTATCAGTAATTTAAGTTCATATGAAATGCTTAGCAATGAATGTTTTATATCATTATCAATATGTTTTGAAAGTTCAAGTCTCATTTGCTTTGCTAACACAGATATTACAGCAATTTTCTTTCCTGGCATAATAGCTATACTTTTAAATGATTTGCGAACTGCTTTCCTTCATGACTGAAGTCTTGAATAGAGCTGACTTAAAAAGCTGTTTTAAAATTCAATATGCTGACATCAATATTTAACTTATGTCCCTCTTCTATTCTTTCATCTATCATTTTGCATTTGCATTTTTGTACCTGTTTTGCAACTTTGACCCCATGCTGCATCTTCTCAAGAACACAAATTTTATTTACTTTCTCTTTCTGTAGGAATTTTTTTATTTCCTTGCCTTTGAAATGCAGGATCTGGTGTTTTTTCTTCTTTTTTTCTCCAACTTTTTATTCTTTTTGCTCCAGATAATGACACTGTTTAAGACTTATCCATATTGACTTATCCAGTTGAAATATTCCACTCAAACATAAACATAAAACAAATAGAAGTTTGGGAAAACAATCAAATCCTATTAATTTCAAAATTATCTTCTTATTATGCTGCTATTTTATTAATGCTTCTACCGACCAGATTTTATAAAAAGCCAGAATCTTACAATTCTTTATTTGTAGCTTTGGCATTTAAATTGTGCAGCGGTTATGGAAAATGTACGGACATGATTTAAATTTTTCATTTTGAAAAAAAAAAAAAAAATTAAATAAAGTGTATAAGTGCTTCTAACATACGTAACAGTAACACATGCAACTTTTTGTTATGTGTGTTACCTTGAATAAAATTAATTTTTAAATATTAACTATTGGTAGTTTCAATTAAAGAATTTCTTTCTTTGAATATCTTGCCTTACTTTATAAAACAAAAACTTTAAAATTTTCTATCTTACTAAAGTATTGATGGAGAAAAATTTAAAATTATGTTAAAAATTATATAGCAGGGAAAGTAGATTATCTTGATTAATCAATTTTAATCACAGATGTAAAAAAAAATGTAGGCCAAATTAAAAGAATATATAAAACAAAGATAAAAGGATAAAATAGCTATATATAATACTAAAAACTATTTTATTGCTCTTCAATATTGTCAGAACTCCATTAGAATATAATATAACAAAGTAGAAAACCTATGTTAAAATTCAGCATGTTCCACCCTTTGTTAGAATTCAACTGAAATTTTTTTATAATTTTAAAAAACATCTAAACTATTAGAAAATGTACATTTTCTACATTTCAATTTTTTTTTTCATTTTTGATTTTATGATAACTTTGAATATTTAGTGACTCTGGATCACTCTTTGTGGAATTGCCCTTATACATAAATAACAAGAAAAATATTAAGTTGTGTAGTTCATCTTTTTACACAAACTGAACAATTATTAAACCAGTGTTTCTCAACTTTTTTTGTGCCATGCCTCACCTAAGTTTTTCTAAAATTCTTATGCTCCCCTATGTAACACATAGATAATTTTTAATATTAAAAAATTTAATTGTTCACTTAAGAAACTTAAATGATAGGTTTTAGGAAGACAGTTAACTGAACACTAGTTAACGAAACACAGTAGGTAAATTTTCAAAACATATAATGAAAAACTAAAATTCAAATAGTTTTAATAAAGATTTTTCTATAATAATAATTTAATATTTTAATTTAGTGAGATCCTTGCAGCACAGAGATTTTATGTTAGGTTCCAATTTGGTTAGCTTCAGTCTCAAGTATCCCCGTTGTGTTATATCCAGACGATTTCTTTTTTTAACAGTAAATCATTTACAGCACTAAATCCAAATTCAGCTAAATATGAAGATGGAAACGGTAGCAATAGTTTTCTTGCACATTTGGTTGCATTTGGGTATTTGATTTCTGTTTCCTCACAAAGCCATGCCATCACTCCTTTTATATTAAATAAAGTTTTAACTGACTCATCATTTTGCATTTCTGCGAGTTCTTCTTGATACTGCATATTTGATATATCAGACAAATCCACTAACTTTGGCTGCATCATCCATGTTGGAAAATCAATTTGTTTTAAATCAGAGAATCTTTCTTTTAAATCAGCCGATAGAATTTTCAGATGATCGACAATAACAAGTAAAGCGGTATTATTTACTTCACATTTTTGGAGCCAATGAAACTGTTCAAAGTTTTTGTTGTTAATATATATCTGACATAACTCAATAAGGGTAATGAAACCAAATATCTTCGCTTTTGCATCAACAAGAGTTTTATTTGTTCCTTGAAGTTGCTTATTTAATATATTTAGTTTTTCAAAGATATCGGCTGAATAACTCACAAATGCTTTATCATCGACTGTTAACAGATACTTCATTTTAGGTTTGTCACTTAAAAAATCACTAAGAATATCAAACAGTTCCATAAATCTTTTCAAGCAGTTCCCTTTAGAGAGCCATCTTACTTCAGTGTGAAGTAAAAGTCTCACATGGTCTGCATTTTGTTCTTCACAAAATAGCTTGAAGAGAAGCTCACATTTGGCATTAGCTTTAATATCATTGATGCACTTTATTACTGAATGTAGTATTTCATTTAGAACAGGCAAGATGTTTCTAGCTAAAAAGTTTTCCCTATGAATAACACAATGCACGAGAATCATTTCTAGATTCTCATCTTTCATCAATTTTAGGCAGCCATTTTTCTTAGGAGCACCATCTGCAGCACAAGATGTTATGTATTTATTGGTATATTATTGACATCTATGTACTTTTTTAGCTTATTATATATATCAATGGAGGTAGTGGTGCTTTCTAATCTTTTACAGAACAACATTTCTTCAGCAAAATGCCCTTTATCAATAAATCTTACGTAAGTCATCAATACTGCCACGCTGTTTATCAAAGTTGATTCATCCATTTCCACTGAGAATTTTCTTGTTTTCATATTTTCAACACGTTGTTTTTCAATATCTTCACTCATTTCGTCTATTCTTCTGCTAACAGTATTGTTACTGAGTGGCATAGCTTTTACAGCTTTGTCATCTTTTTCAAGAACAGTTTTAAGAGATGCTGATATTGACGTTTTTTTAAAATTCTCTCCTGTAGTATTTTTTCCAGATTTAGCGATGAATAAAAAAAAAATTATAACTAGCCTCAAGAATACGATTATGAGTTGAAGTGTGAGCAGTAAATAGAGACTTTACTGTTGTCCTCTTTTCAAAATTTTTCTTTAAAGTATGAAAGTCCAAGCGGAGTCTGCTGCAGGGAGGTTAACTTGACGACACCAAAAACACAGTTGATATTCTGGTCTCATCAAAAGAATTTATAATATTTATTGGTTGCAATTATTTAAGAATTTGATTTTTTCTTTCAATTTTGGCACCGAAATCTAGCATAGCATTTAAATGGCCCGAAGCAAAAGGGTTAAACTCGTGTCGAGTACATTTTAGAATTGCCCTCCCTTAACAAGCAAACTGCCCCCCAGTGGGGCATGGGCCCCACGTTCGGAAACACTGTATTAAACAGTTGAATGTAATGAATAATTGTTATTTCTTAACTAAAATTTAAGCTCTTTAAAAAATTCTTATGGAAACAATACAACTTATTATTATTTTGATTAAATAGATTTTGCATTTTTTATTTATTTCATTACGTAAAGCACTTAAAAATATCAGTTATTAGGCAATTTATTTGCAGATAAAAAAAAACATATTACAACGTATATAATGCTTATGCATCTTTCATAATTATGTTCTTTAGGGATGATTAAACAAGTCACTGGAAATATTTTTTTTTACATAAAGACAGGGTTTGAATACAATTTGCTTATATTCAGTATGATTTTTGGTACAACTGTTAGGTAAAAATTCAATTTTATTCTAACAAAATAGATTAACCTATTACAAGTAATCTCAATATGTTTGGACACAAGAATGTCTAAATGTCATTCAAAGTAAAAAAGATAAGAGCAATAAACATGCGTCTGCAAACACCACGTAAAATTTTAATAATAAAGCAAACAAATACATGAAAAACACATATAATATATATATAACAGAAATAGAGTCGAATCTAGTATCTGGAGAAATACTCCTTTCATCTCTATTTAAAATTATAATACACAAAAAGTAAAATGGATAAAAAAGAAAAATCAACATCATTACCAAGTTAAATCAGAAAAATAGAGAGTATTATAATAGAAGATAAAGGGTTTTTCTTTTCATATATAAAATATAAATAATTTCATACCATCAGAGATGAGGTTTTGCAACTTGCTAACAAGTTTCTGGAGTTTGAAAGGGAATGTGGGGTCTTTAATATCTCCCTCACATGTGAGGACTGTAATTGCTAAGTCCTCCCCTTCCATATCTAAAAAATTAAAAGAAAAAAACATTAAAAATATATAATGTTATAATTGTACTATTCTGATCATTTGTAATATTTAATTTGTAAAATATGAGTATTCACTTACATAACAATAATTTTTTTCTCATTCTTATCGAGAATATTATTTTCAAATTTATTATTATTCTATACTTACAAAAAGAAATGAATAAGATTTTTTTTTTTTTTTACAAACTTATGCTATTATAGATATTTTAGAAATTTTTAAACCAAAATTGTGTTCGTATTTTAACAAGGAGATATGATTTTAAAGAAGCACATCACACAGTAAGTTTTATGTTTGAATACTTTCAAGAGACTTTTATAATGATACATACAATATATTTTTCTAAAATTTAGTTAATATTAAAATTTGAAACATTATAGTGCTAACATAGTACAAAGTAAAACTTTAAAATTTATTTTCATGAAAAGTCATTTTTGAAATATTCTAAAAAATGTTTTGCAGATCTAAATTCTTATAATCAATTATTTTACTATTCGGAACACTATAAAAACAATTTTGTTAGACAATTTTTTAACATTAGTTTCCAAACTTTTTTTAAAGTAAAGTAACACAAAATTGGTGTGTTAATAATAGAATTTTCCAGGAAAAGTAAACATTTTAATGTTTTTATTTATGGCTATAAAAATTTGTTTTTCCTATTAATTTGCTAAATAAAATTGAGTTATAAAATCAAACTAACTTATTACTTTTCTGAATAACTTATTACTTTTCTGAAAATAACTTATTACTTTTCTGAAAAAATGTCTAATTTATTTCAGTGTTAATGACATATTTTAAAAAAATCAGCCAATATTTGAGCATTTCATTATTTATACTATAATGTCTCCTTTAAAAGATCTGAATAAAAAGATAATGAAACTTGAAATCCATTGAAATATTTGTTTTTAATTAATCTTACGTTATTCATTGGTAGGATCAAATGGCTTTAACACATTTCTTCTGTGCCACTTTCACATATATCCACGATCAGAATTCTGAGATCTTTGATAACTGAAACTATTATTGGAAAATTAAAAAAGAAAAAAGATGTCAACTGGCACAATACTAATATTGCCAGAATTTTTTTTTGTTGATAAATTGCTTAGTAACAGCTTACAAGTATTTCAAAGGAATACCTAAGAAGAATTTAATTAAGCAATGAAACAGCACATTTAAGTAGACTTGTCACATTCTGATACCTTATATTTCCAGTTTTGAAAATTCATTTTGTTTTATAATTTTACCTCTAACAAATTAAAAATGCATTCAAAAAAGAATAATTTTCAATATAAATTAAATGAAAAGAGTATTAGATAAATTATAGAAGTAAAAATTAATGAGAAAAAAAATATCCAGGAAAAAAGTATTAAGTCTCTATACATAATTAAAAATGTAATTTGATTGTAAAAAATTAGCTTCATAAAGTTAATTCTACAAAAACGTAACATTAAAATTAGCAGTGTTAATAAATTATAAATGTTTATCGATATCATAGTGAGTGAAATAGTTTAATCAATAACTTAATAATCAAGGGCAAACACATCAATAACATAAAATAAAATAAAATATTAAAAAAATTCAAAATATTATTAATTTTAATGTAATTAAAAGAAGAATGTTTTATTTGAGCTGTTCAAATAAATTTTAAAATTATTGTTTAATAAGTTTAAGCTGATTAAGACCAGCCAGCTTAGAATTTAACTCAAAAAATTTGTACACAAAAACAGATTTTCTAACTTTTCCAGTCATGAACATTTTCATACAATTTTTTAATTACAATTTTCATACAATTACTAAAAATGTTAGAAGAATGAGCAATAATATAATGAGACATTAAATAATAATTTATGTATTTTCAACACTCTTTTATAATTTTATACACTATTTTATCTTTATAATTTTCATAAAAAAAGGGCAAAAGTTCATGAATTAAGCTCATTTTAAATAAATCTGTAATAATGGTGTGTTCAGCTAAAAATGTTTGTTTCAGGGTTAAAAACCTAGCCAGAAGAAAGGAGGCTAAACAAATCCGAACTATTAAAACATAAAATACAAGGAAGCTATGATTTGAAACTTAAACAAAGAGATATATTAAAATAATGTAGAAAGAACTTTTTACAAGAAAATAAGCAAGGACAAAAGACAAGGTGCTTATTCGATACTATAACCAAGTACACATACCATCATCATTATCAAAACATTCTACAGTATCAGACTTTTAAAATCATATTTTGTTAATTTTTAAATCTATAGACTACAATATCCCAGTAGACACATTTAAAAAATTGTTTGTTTATTAAACTTACTATATCGATAGCTTAGATTTAAAACGGCAAATGTCAAAATTTTGAAATATTGTTACATTTTTAAATTAGTACTACTAGAGGAAAAAACATAGCAACAAATACTTTTGCATTTAAAACAAGACATTAGTTTTATGAAAAACAATTTTGGACCTATTTAGTCAGTTTAGCTCTGACTATAGTTGGTATTAAAATTTAAGATTTTTTTCTCTTTAGGGTCGAAAAAATGTCTTTAATTTTTTCTTCCTCCTTTCTTATTTTGCCAAGCATTGACATCAATAGTTTTTGCCTTAAACCACAGGTATATCGGTAGTTGAAACAAACACACACGACAATGCTCTGAAAGAATTGCAAAAAGTAATTAAATTCAAATTAATAATTTAGATGAACACGCTTAATTTCGAAGTATTCAACATCAATCACTCTTGAATAATAATTTCATAATTTAAACTATTTTTAGTCATATTTTTGACAAATTATTAAGTTAAAATAAATAACTTTTCTTTGATATTGGATTTAGGATAACATCCTAATCCTAAAAAACGACATTTCTTTACAACTAAACTATTCATAAGTTGTAATTCACATTTCAGATAAAAACTGATGAGGAAGTGAAATGAAAATCTGTTAAGTAATTTTTAAAAAAAAATTTTTTTTTTAAATGTATAATGTTTCAAATGCTTAAATTTATCTTTATATCATAGTTAAAGCATTATCAAGAAATAAAAGAGCCTTCCGTGAGCAGTGAATTACACAATGTTTGCATTAAATTTGAAGTACTAATAACAGGGGTCTGTCTAGGTTTTTCTGAGAGTTACCCATTTTGTGAAAATTTAGACATAATTTGTGAAAATTATATTAAAAAATCAACATAAAAATATGGATTTGTCGTTCCTTATGAGACAAAAAATCTTTTTTTTAAGAAAAAGTATTTTGTGAAACTACCATTTTTTTTAAAGTTGAATTTTGGAAAGTACCACTACGGTACTAAATCTGGCTCGGACAGACCCCTGAATAATAAAAATTAATAAACTGCAGAATAAAAATTAAGAGATTTCCGTATCGTGATCTGTCTTGCAAACTTCCGGGTAGTGGCCCGAGAGAAACTTAAAAAAAAAAAAAAACATTACAGAAAGGGACTAACTCGAAATTTATAACTCGTAACCATCCCCGTGCAAACATCTACATTTTTGTAAAAAAATTTGCAAATTTAAAATCTATTTGCCACCTTGGCGATTGTAGTTGGAGCGACAGATCACGGTATGGAAATATCCCCATAAAAATAAGCCTTAAAACAGAAATTTGAATATACAACAAAACATTATGATTTCATAATAATGATTTTTCCAATTGTTACTTACTACAAAAGCAATAAAAGATTCTAAAATGACTTTTCCCGAATATAATAAGATGTAAATAAATTAAAACAAGTGGCAAATAAAAAATTTAAACTGTTATTGTAATCTAATAAATAAAGGTAAAAATATAAATCATATTTTAAAGTCATTAGCAAAACAGACATTGTAAGATATAAGAGCGCTTTCGAGGAAACAAACTAGATTTTAAAAGATTTTTTAAAAAAGTTGATAATAATAGAAATATAACTTTATTAATAATATTGCCAACCCATGTAAACAGACCCAAGAACGCTTATAGGAATTTACGAGTGCTAATTTCTTTTTATCCCCTTTTAAAACAATATGAATTGTTTACATTTAGCAATGAATAATGAAATTTAAAAACAGAGCTTTTAAATTTTCTTATACCTTATATCCTAACATAATAGAATAAGATTTATAAAACTTTTAATCAGATTTAAAGCAATTTTTTCAACAACAAAAAAAAAGCTAGTAACTGTAAATATTAATTCCAAGACTATAGTTCCTTCAATAATGAAGAAAATTAAAATATTCTGTTTTTACATTTAGTCAGAAGATAAAACTAATTAAATTATGAAACTGCGCTAAACTTAATTGTTTAAAAATATAAAATGTACACATAAAGAAATCGTGTAAAAAGCATGATTTTCTAACTAAGTAGAAATTGCCATATGTATAGAGAAAAGAAGATAATAATAATAAATATTTTTCCTTGTTTCATGTATAAATTTTACTTAGAATAACACTTTAAATTAATATATAGAATTAAAGAAACGTTTAGCCGCACAATGTTTCAAGTCAGTCTTCTCCCCCCATTTCATTAATATGCGTTGTTTACAACAAAAATATACAACAATAAATAAGTAAATTTTTAAATATAAGTCGATATTTTATTGAACTTGAACGTATTTATTACATAAAACATACGAATACTTTAAGAAGTGACCGAAATCCCCCATTCTTTAGCTAATGTTTACAATATGAACGCCACGATTATAATGAGCGGACAGCATTTTAAAGGGCGCTCCAATATCGGTGAATACACATCATAACTAAAAATTTCGAACAATTTTGAAAGTAATATACAGAGATTTAGTTGCTAAAAATAATTAGTATAAGTTTTTAACATCCCTTTGACAAGTAGAAAGACTGTACCAATAGTATATAAACAAAATTTTAAGTGCACCATAAGTGGAACTACAACTAATGGTGTAATTATAAGGCGTAAATATCTGTATTTCTTTCATTTTTTTCGAATTGATCACCTTAATCATGCATTCTGATATATAATATTGTAAAAAATGATGCAAAATCACAGTAATTACAGCCTTAATACTGATATAAACATATATTTTCCGCAAATCAAAATAGGAATAGTAACTAAACATTGATGTTATTTTAGTAATGTGCGATTGAATGAGGTATGCTTTATTAGAAACATTATAGAATTTTAATTTACTTAAGGTTTACTTAGTAAGCATTAATCATTTTGTTGCAATGTTTTTTTCCTGTGAATCACTGATCTTAATGAGGACCAACCCCACCAAAAGTGGGGAAGCTGAGGGAGTCGATGTACTATAACATTGAAGTTCTATAAATTGTGCCACTTTTATTCTATTTGATTAAACGATTTCAATTTTTTCATTCAATGTTATATTATGTAACTGTATAAAATATATTGTTACGATAGCTTAAATTTTGCTCTCACCTCGAAATGGTAGCGTTTCGGGCATGAATTTATTCCCTTGACGTTCGCCATGGAACAATAACAGACTCCGCCATTTGCAATAACCTAAAAGCGCATGCTCAGTACCAATCTGATGAAGGATGTTGTATAATGGCAAAACATACCAACAGAGGTCAGCACTGAATCCAATAATTTATCAGGATTAGCGAAAAGCGCATGCGTAGACACTCAGCTATATCATTATTTTGCAGAATGAGTTTCGTTTTTAAAAAAAATTTCAGTTCAGCTATGCTTACTATATAATAACTTAATTATATATAAATATATTAAATTATTTTAAAGTTGTAATTTATTCATTAATACCTTGTATGCAGAAAAAAAAATTTAATGTATTAATTTTTCTTCTACACTAAACTGTGAATAGTAGATTACTGAAATCTTAGAATTCGGAAAGAAGTTTCATACTTTACAATTATTAAAAGCAATAAATGATTCTGATTAAAATCAACGTAGTTTCGAACTCCTCGGCCTCTTTATTTATTCCATAAGTTGGCTGCAAACATTACGCATGCGCATTGAAGTTACTATCCCGTTAAGTCCTAAAGTTTTTGTTTTCTTTGTTATTGTTTTGTTTGCCGGATGTCCAGCAGAATTATTAATCAGTATGGTAAGTGCAGTTTTACAAGAGTTTGGTTAATAAATAAGTAATTAAATTAATTTATCTGATATTTTTCCTCAATCCTTAAAATTTTTATTAAACAGAATAAATATTCAATGACTGAAACATTTTAGGATTATACTTTTGTCCAAGATTAATAGTGGTTAGTGAAGTTTTATCCTTGAAGTGATAATCGCTTTGAAACTAATCTAGGTGTCAATAAATGTTTCTCAGTGAGTAATGATTTACATAAAGTACACTGTTGTCTTGTCGATATTTTGACTTTATCGTGGTTGCTATAAGTAGCAACTCATGTTCCTTTGATTGTTTAGATATTAGAAAATTAAAACCTTATTGTAACTTTATGACTAATAGATATTTATTCTAAAAGAAAGCTTAGCTACGAATTATTTATAAATTCTTTCAGAGATCAGTTTTTCAGTCGCACTTATTTTTGAGTTTCGGAAGTTATATTTATCGTATTTATTTGTTTTCTTTTAAAATCTTTGCCAGTATAAAAGCTTCTACATTAAATTAACCAAAGCAAGAAAAAGATTATTTATGACCCAACACTTTTCGTTCAGAAAGTGAGACAGGAGCAGTAATTAAGTTTTTCTCTGTAGCTCAACTTTTAATTGGTGAGGCTATAAGTAACTAACTGTTTTGAGAAAACCTAAATAACCTGCTAAATTTGAAATAAGAGTTTTTTTGACATTGGTAAATTAATCGTATACAAAGTTGCTATGTTATAACATAATATAAGTTACATCATCCATAGTCAACCTTATCATCAAAGATGTTTTTTTGTCCAATGTGACTGCAAAAATGCAGCGTAAAGTGTAATTTTAATGAAATATAATTCTAAAAAATTATGTGTTCCAGATGTATCAAAATAAGTTTCGACCAATTGTGCTATTTTGATATTTAAAATCGCCTATTTTAAAATGATGTAAAAATTAGTATACCTTAGAATTCATAAATTGTTTCAACTTATATAAATAAATTTCATAATAAATAATTATCAAAATAATATTTTACTTGGAATTGTCTTATGAAAGATAAATTGTATAATTATGAGGAAAAGTTTTCGATTTGCTTCAGAAGTATTCGAGGTATACTGAAATACACAAACTTAATGTTAACGAGTCTGGAGAATTTCCTCTATTGTGATCGCCGGCAGAATACTTGCAAGGTCTTGCCAACTTCCGTACAGCAACCCGTGAGAAATTAAAAAAATTACTGAGGGGAACCAACTTGAAGAGTATAACGTGCAGCCCCCCAATGGTCAAACCTTTAAACTTTACATGTATTTTTAAAAAATTGCAAGATAAAAATTCATTTGGAGCCTCGGGGATTGTTTTTGCCACTATTCTGGTTACTCTCCATATTTTGAAGGTCAAGCATCCAAATCCATTAAAAAAAGACAATTTTATTCAGAGAACGCATATTTTTTTGAATTTGTGACTTAAAATATTATCTGTGCTAGCTAATTAGCATAATTAGGGTTAGACTCTTGAATAATTATGATTGAACCCTAGTACTTAAAAATCCGATCATTACATCAAAAGTTATTCAGGCTACTCACTTTTTTATTTTACGCATTGTGCAGTTTATACCAAAAAGAAACCTTTTACACTTCACATTGACTTCATTAAGTATTACATTTACATTTTTCAGATTGGTGAATAAATAGATAATGGCTTGGTTACATTCTCCTTTTACAAGGCAACAAGGACTTGGAGAAAGTGGAGGAAGTAACCTGAGAAAAGGATATAAAGTTACTTCAAATAAGTGAGTTTTTTGTAAACTATATAAAGAATTCATGCATTGAAGAATACAAATAATCATGCCATGTGTTACAAAAAGACCTGTGCATTTAATTTTGTGAATGCGTACGATGCTTGTAAAAATACCATTCACTAACTTAAAAACAAATATCATAAAGAATCATTTTAGTAACTTCACCATTCTGCAATTCATTAATTACATTTAGATGGCAGAAAATTAACTGAAATAGTTATTCTCATAACCATTTCTTTTAGGAATAATTCTGGTAATAATCAAGTAATATCTTTTCAGTATATGCACTTATTCTTATATTTAATACATATAAGTAGGCACAGAAATTTGAAAGCAATATCTAGGCAGGATGTTGGATTTTTTTTTCATGATAAAACCTATTTGGGCTGGGTTTCAGACTTTCATGATTACCATTTCATAAAAAATAAATTTATTTAGTTATTTATAGTTTCCTTTTACTTGTTTTGATTAATAATTGCGTACCCTGCACTAATCTCTACTCCAGTTTCTTTATAACTTCCTTCCTTGTGTTTACTAGGTTCAGGAAAAAATAGTTGTAAGCATTTCTCAAATATCTAGAATTTTTGTTATTTTAGTTTCAAATCCAGTTGAATCTTGCTCCCTAGTTCTCACATCTTTCTTTATGCTTTGACTTGTTTCAATGTTGCCGTCACAAATGTTATTCTTATCGTGTTACGAATACCCTTTTATGTTGTGTCTGAAACTCGCATGAGCATTTGTTAAAGTTTGAGTGAAATGCATCAAACATCAAGTTTGGCATTTATGTATCAGTTGATTGAAATGTGGTGGTGTCAATTAGTGAAATGCTTGCAGCAGCTGAAGAAGTGTAAATGGATACAGATGAGAACAGCAAAACGGAACCACAATCAGTGCTGAAATTTGCAGAAGTTCTCAAAACCTTTGAAATAATAAGAAACTTTTTGTGTTCATGAAAACTTACAGAAAATGAATAGATTTTTGTCAGAAATGTTGGAAATTTATTGTTTACATTAAAACAGGGATGAGATTTTTCCGTTTTTTAGCGGATTTCCGCTTTTTTCACTTTTATCTCTTAAATTTCAGCTTTTTTATNAGCATTTGTTAAAGTTTGAGTGAAATGCATCAAACATCAAGTTTGGCATTTATGTATCAGTTGATTGAAATGTGGTGGTGTCAATTAGTGAAATGCTTGCAGCAGCTGAAGAAGTGTAAATGGATACAGATGAGAACAGCAAAACGGAACCACAATCAGTGCTGAAATTTCCAGAAGTTCTCAAAACCTTTGAAATAATAAGAAACTTTTTGTGTTCATGAAAACTTACAGAAAATGAATACATTTTTGTCAGAAATGTTGGAAATTTATTGTTTACATTAAAAGGAAAAGAGTTGGTTCAAATTGAAATTTTTTAACATTTTAAGTAACCAAATGAGTTCATTCACATTTCTTTTTCATCATAATATTTTACACAGTAAACAACTTTTTTCATATGAAATTCTTTGTACTCAAGCAAATTTATTAATTTTCAAGTCAACTTTTTTATTACTTAATATAATGTATAAATATATAATATATTAGGGGTATATATAGGCTAACAGGTTGACTAATGTAAGGAAGCATGCATATTTAGTCATACTGGCAGCCATTGTGATAAACATTAACATTTATATAAACATTAGTGTTCAAAGAGCTAAACTTTTTATCTGTAAACTAAGTAACATATTTGCGGAAAATAAAATATTTTTTATTATTAGAATTAACGAAATTGAAAAAACTGGTACTACTATTTCTTAAAAAATAATTTCCCTTTTTAACAATTGATTTATCAGAAAATATACGTAAATATTGGGGAAACAAAGTATAAATTCTAACAACAACAAAAAAATAATAAACTAATGCTCATAGAATAAAAGTAATAAAAATACAGACGTACATACATATTTTAATGAATAATATAAATTTAAATTAAATATTTTAATTTAGGAAAATTTATGAGGTTTAAACCAAAAATTAAAACAAAACCATTATAGTGCAAAATAAGATTCAATATTCATTTATTATTATACTGCAGATATTATTGCTATTTCTTGAATTATTAAACGTTTTATAAATTTTAAATAAGAAAAGTTTTCTTTTTTGTTTTTTCTTAAAAAAACACATAAGCTACAAAAAATTGTCAAAATTACAAACAGTGAGCATTTTAAAAATTCGCTTTTTCCTCCATATTTCGAATATTTCATGTTGCTATAACATTGTATTAAATATCGGGTATTTTAAATATCATGTACAAATGCATGGCACTAGCTGCCGAAAGAACAACGGGAAAATAACCTATATATTCATTGGAATACATGCAAATAAATTGTATCAAAAAGTGATTATTTATATGCACAATTAAAAACATACGTGCTGCAGTAACATCATTCAGGATAGTCAGAATCATGTGGAAATGCATTGCAATAATTGATAAAAGTATGTACAATGAAATTAGTCTGAATTAAGCGTGTCAATATTTAATTATTTAAATGTGTGATTTAAAATTCACATGTAATAAAATTTTCATTTTAAAACCACGTTGGAAGGTATCAAGGGAATTGCAAAAAAAATTACTTGAAACTTACAGTGAAATCGGCAAAAACAAATCACGTCAAAAACTGATTACTTAAACGTATTATTTGAAACTTGTGTGTCTAAATAATATAGTAAAAATGTGTGTTTTACAAAAGCTTGGCAATTATTGCCTTTCGAAAAAAAGTAATCAAAATCAAAAAGTCATTTAGATTTAGTCATTTAGTCAAAAACTGATTACTTAAACGTATTATTTGAAACTTGTGTGTCTTAATAATATAGTAAAAATTTGTGTTTTACAAAAGCTTGGCAATTATTGCCTTTCGAAAAAGAAATCAAAATCAAAAAGTCATTTAGATTTACGATGAAATCGACCCAAAGAAGGCACATCAAAAAGTAATCAGTTAAATGAGCGGTGTATAACTTGCAAGTAATAATATCTTAATAAATGTATCGGGATTTTACAAATCACATGTAAATTGGTAGTTATAAATGGAAAAAAAAACAGACAATCGAAATTGATTGATAATGAAATTCTACAAAAATAAAAGGACTCAAAAAGTGATTACTCAAATTCAAAATTCGTGTATCGTATTAAAAATATTGTGCATTTTAAAACCATGTGGAATTTTGTATCAATAACTGTTGAAAAAGTGATTGAGAAACAACATGAATACACAATAAAATCTGCAAAACGGGTGCATCACAATGTGATGACTCAAATGTGCGATTCACAATTTTCACCATATTTTCATTTTTCTAAAAAAATTTTTATTTTCATTGTGTTTGAAAGCTCTCGCTGGTTTAGCTGCATTTTTAAGTCATTATTTGATATTTTTGGCCCACGTTCACTGTTTCACTGTATCTATCATTCACAGTGTATAGTCCCATGAGAAACAATTGATGGAAATTGTACTATGCTATTTGTGCAAATATATTTCCTATCATAATGTGATTTTATGTCTTAATTTCTATAATAGTTTTTTTTAAAGAATATTTTAGACAGGATATTTATCTTGATTTATTAAAAAATTTACCAGTGGAAATAAAATATTTGTGTATCTTTAATTATTAATTACTTTAATTTTTGACTGGGAGTTATCCCACAAAATAGTTGAATTGTTATTTAATACTGAAACTGGCAGTGTATAATTTAAATTTTTGAATTAACTATATGCTTCAACAGAAAATTTCGACATAGTTAAATCTTAGTTTTTAAAATTTTTATGTTGTCATGAAATATAATATAGCTTATTTTTGCATGTAAAATTAATTTTTATTTACGCTTTATTACTTATACCAATATATATTTTAAAAAATATGGAATTTTTCCTGTTTCTAAATGAATGTTTCAAATTTTTGTGTAAAATGCACTACTTTTGCTTATAGAGCGTGTTTTTAATAGTAAATTCTTAACTCTTATAATATTTCTATAAAAAATTTTTTTTTACAGGGATTGTGATCCAGATAATAGTGATACGCCACTTTTATTTGATGCTCCACCTTCAAAGACTGAACAGAAATCTTTAAATACTGATTGGTTTGGAAATACGTAAGTTTTTTACTCTTGAATATTTTAAGTATTTCGGTGTTTAATGCATAAAGTTATTTCAACCATAATTTAAACAGCTCATAATATTGTGAATTTTGAACTGGTTTACTTTATATTTTGTGTATTTTAGTTTAAATTTTTTTTTTAATTCAGAATTAAAAGAGGTGAAAAGTAAATACATATATCAGACGATATTGAAGAGTGTTTTTTCATATTCTGCCTACAAAATTGTTAAATTTACTAAATTCAATAATATAGTTTTGAATTATAAGAAATGCAATTTTTTGAGAAATGCTTAGTTTTGAATGTCTAAATCCTGATTTTCAATGAAGTTGTTTGAAATGGTCGTAGCGATGATCATTTATTCAATGAGAGTTCATGGGAGGGGAAAATATTCATTTATCTTTTAATTTTTTTAAAGTTATACTTGTATAATGATTTCAAATTTTCTTACTTTTTTTGATCAAAAACATTTAATCATTTTAATCTTTTATTAAGAATTCATATTAAATATCAAACTTAAATTTTAATTTATGAACCTAAAGGTGAATCAGTGGTGTAGATAAGACCCCTACAATGTGGGGGCACATTATGGTCAATGGTACACACTGTAGAAAGAAAATATATAAGTTACGATAGAAATATGTTTTTATTTATACAGTGTAAAGTCGCGTATCTGGAATCGGTGGGACTTCCAGAAGTCCGTATAATAGATTTTTCCGTATCATAGACCCCAAGGTGAACAAAGCTTAAAATGATTTAATAAACGATCTGAATCTAAGAAGCAAAAAATAAATAAACATTATTTTTAAGGGGAACAATGTTTTAGCATTAGAATATCTAAATCAAATATAAAATATTAGAAAAAAAATATTATTGCTGAAATTATGGAAAACGAAAAAAATTTAACAGTTATGAAAATATTAATCCGCCATTTTGAACTAGAACGATTCAAGCAGGAAGGGGAAATTCATGTCATTCTGGAACAAAGCTTAAAATGATCTAAATCTAAGAAGCAAAAAATAAATAAACATTATTTTTAAGGGGAATAATGTTTTAGTATTAGAATATCTAATCAATAAAATATGAAATATTAGAAAAAAAATATTATTGCTTAAAATATAGAAAACGAAAAAAAATTGACATATGAAAATAATAATCCGCCATTTTTAACTAGAATGATTCAAGCAAGAAAGGGAAATTCCCGTCATTCATTAAGGTGGGTAGGTGGAGGAGAAAAATTCATTTCCTCCTTATTTGTGAAAGAAAATAAGTGTAAAGAGGAGATCATTTAAGTTGAGGGTGGGGAAGTAACAAATTATTGTTTTCTCTCCAATCATTGGCTATCAATCAAGCATAAAGGCGGGGCACGCTGATCGGGTTCTCTTTATTTTTTCTTCTATGACTGAAAGAATCTGCTAAAGAAAGAATGTTACCCCCTTTTCCCCCCGCCTCCTAAATATTACATGGTATGGGGAAGAACGAATGTTTTGTTTCTCAAGGACGTGTATCCTTTTAGACCTATTCAAATTTTCCATTTTGACTCCCCCTCCACCTTAACGCTTGCCCCGTTTACCCTTTTCCACAGTATTTCTTCTTTCAATAAAAAGGTTCCAGGAAATGCCTCTTTTACTAGCCACCTGCATGGGAAAGGAGGGGGGGGGGGGACTCAGTTGCGGTCTTTTGAAAACAAATCTCCCTCTTTTTCCTACATTCCAAGGGAGGAGCGTCACTAAAGGTCACTCAATGGTCTTGGTAGATCTTCACTTCCCCTTTGTTTATTTTGATTCTTAAAAAGTGTCCGGGAAATCGACCCTTCCGGGAAAGGGACGTCCGGATATGGGACGTTACACTGTACTATATTTTTCAATTAACTTAATAAGAGCTGCTGTGCCTCAGGGAATAGAGCACTCGTCTCCCAATGAGGTCACACAGATTCGAATCCCAGGATTGATGCGAATTCTGCACCCAACTCACACCGGCCACAGTGCTAACATTAAATATCCTCAGTGGTAGACAGATCATTGGTTAAAATCCTCTTGCTGTCGGGCTAATCGTGGGAGGTTTTCAGGATTTTTCATGAAATTATCCATGCAACATATATGCAGATTAGTTTCATCAAAAAGGCTAGGTTGTCCCAATGCTTTATCTAGGAGTTCCTTGTCTTCTGGATTGGGTTCAAAAATATAATTCTGCAGATTTGAAACGATATTTTAAATTGTGAAATCAGACACGCAAAAGCACTTTCTCCGAATAAACATACCTTTTTGTTTCGTCGGATTCCGATTTCTAGCCCCAAATATATAAGGAGCAGCCGCAATCTGGGAAATATGGTCCCACCCTTTAGTGTAAATTTTACTTTTTGCATATTTCTTTATATCTCGAGAACTTTTTAAGAAAATTTAAACCGTTTTGCACAAAACTATTAAATTCGTTTATCCGAAGATGATGCTATAAAAAATATAACTTTCAGTAAATATTTATTATTATTTTAAGTAAGAATGATTGAAACAATTTTGAATATTTAGATAACACAATTTTTTGCAACATTTTAAAAAATGTAATTTTATGTAGAAAAATACAAAATTTGAATGAAATTGATCAAATAGTTTCTGAGAAAATGAGTTTTAAATATACAGCTTTTTAAAAATTCAATTTCTCAGGAACTTTTTTTTTAATGGCGTGCACTTGGGACGAAGACCCATTGGCCTCAGAAAATGCCAGAACTGCTACTCTCTTCTCGTTACCCAGTGCGGCGGTGGAGCAGTGTCGCCCACGTCACACAACCACAAACCCGTTTATAGGGCGGGTCACATTCACACACAAAGGAGAAAGGATGTTGAACACAGAGAGAAAGAGACATCCATGCCCTGAGCAGGATTCGAACCCGCGACCATCGGCTCTGCAGTCAGGCACGCTAACCACTCGGCCACCTGGTTGGCTTTCTCAGGAACTATTTAACCGATTTTGCTCGAATTTTGTATTTTGCCATGTAAAATTAAATACTTTGATGTAAAAAATTTTATACCTTGAAATTCAAAATTTATTTGGCTATTATTAAATAAAGTAATAAAAAATAATGAGTATTTACTAAAATTTATTTTTTTGATTGGGATTATCTTTGGGTAAACGAATTTTATAATTGTGTGCGAAAAATTTTCAATTTGCTTTGTAAGTTCTCGAGATATGGAGAAATACGGAAAAAATAAAATTAACATTAAGGAGTCCAACCTTTGGAATGCTCTCCTGGCCAAACTATTTGAACCATGTCTCCCAGATTGCAGCTACATATTTTGGGGGTCAGAAACCTGTATCTGCTGAAAAAAATATATGTTTATTCAGAGAAAATACGTTTTGTGTCTGATTTCGTAACTTACAATATTGTCTGCACTTATGTTCTAGCAAATTTGAGATCACCCCCTCAAATCATTAAGAATGATATCAAAAGTTATTCAAAGTGGTCTTTTTTTGGCGCAATGTACAATAAACTGCAGTAAATATTTTTCTACTTTTTTAAATCTTTTTGAAACTAACCGGACTTAAAATTAACATTAAAAATATAAGCTCACTGGACAAAAAATTAGTCACCCTTAGAGAAATCATGAACAAGATCATTTAATTACGTGTAACACTGTCTTTAGATTTGATGACCGCCAGGATTCGGTTAGGAAGTGAGTCCAAAAGGTTTTGCAAGTACGTCGAATCCAGTTTAAACCCCTCGTTGAGGATTTGATTGCGCAAACTCACCAAATTGTGAGAATGTTGATTTTGGCGCTTTACCCGTTGTTCCAACATGTCGCACAAATTTTCAATGGGGTTCAAGTCGGGTGATTTTGCTAGCCAGCCGAGATGTAATTGAGTGTTCATAAAACCAGTCACATAAACTTCCAGCAGCATGAACTTTGCTGTTGTAAAAATAGGGGTATCGACAACACACTTTACATGAAGAGGGTGACTGAAAGGCAACAGCCTAATTGTCCAGAACTTTCAAATAAACATGTTGGATCATGTTAGTGGCCCCCTCAGTTAGGAGCCCATTCCATAATAAGAAAAACATGACAGACCCACCTCCAGCTTGAACCTATGCTTGCACACAGTCAGGATGAAATGCTTCATCCGGTCTGTGTTGCACTTGCAGACGTGCTTCGTTTGAATAAATGCAAAAACTTGATTCTTCAGACCATATTACATTCCGCCAGTCAGCAACTGCCCATGTTCGGTGACTTCTAGCCCACTGAAGTCACGCAGCTTTATGTGCAAGTGACCTCTTACGAGATGTTCAGCTCCATATGTTCATTGCATGCAGCTCCATTCGCAATTTTTTCTCACTAAAGGACTGGGACGGATCTTCATTTAGTAACTGAAGTAATTCCTGTCCAGTTTGGAAGCGATTTTGACTGAAAAGTCGTGAAACGCGTCTCTGGTCACTTTCATGCAGGATCTTTTTCCGACCACAATTCTGACAGCGTCGTTCGTGACCACGTATATTACACCACTGCTTGTAGACACGTTGAACAGTCAGCTTTGAAATGCCAACAAATCCAGCAACTTTATTCACCATATGACCATTGGCACGGCCAAACACAATTGCCCCTTTTTACCACTCTATCACATCTTTACTCTTACCCATATTTACACACAATTTCCGCTTCAAACAAAAATATCTCACTGATAGCTACTTGTCTTTGATCAGGTTGAAGCAGTGTGCATGCAGTTGAGCACGTCACTTGACCACTGCGTCATCTAACGAAGCCTAAGGATTCATCGGTGTTTGCGCACTAGGGTGACTAATTTTTTCTCCGGTGAGCTTATACAGGGTGTCTCAGCTAAGCGTTTCAGAACTTCTAAGAGGGGTAGGGGGCATCCTGACGACTCGAAATCATATAGCAATGTGGGGTCGGAAATGCTTTCCTGAAGCGGTGACGTACACAG